AAATGTTAATTTGAATTCTATATTTATAGTATGAATATTTCCTTTTCCTTAAAATGTTTGAATATATCGGCAGTTTAACAGAAGTTTAACAGACTTGTAATAAACACAATCTTCGAAACTTCCCGAAACAGCTGTGCAAGCGGCTCTGTTGTTCGAAAGCCGAAGGTGCAGAACAGAAGCAACCACTGTAAGTGTTAGGCTCGTGTCGATTAACATAACAGAGCGTGGCCATAACAGAGTCTGTTAAAATTATCTGAAAGATACTTCGGCAATAGCATTGTTTTGTTTATCCAGTTGACAGTTTGTGGAAAATCGTCACGGTGCGCGCATCAACGAAAATTGGTCGCGGAAAACCAAATAACCCAACGGGCATTAAATTTGTCTCGGCTCTTCAGCAGAGCCACGCACGTCTAGGTGTTAATTCCAATTGGAATATGCGCGTCTGAAACTTCCGCGAGGCGAAGTGCCAAAAACGCACTGTGAAATATTGCAAAAGCAAAATGCGCGCCATATTTTAAGATTCAAAAATTGTGCGAAATTCGGCGAGTGTTTAGCCAGTGTCAATCGAAGCGAAGTAAACAATAAACAAGCAATTATTACTCAAACAATTAAAGTGTGATTACCAAGCCAATGCCAGCCATGGAGCAGAACTTTAAAGGCCTCTTCACAATCGGATTATTTCTGGCGCTGCTCAGCGGCGGCCAAACGCATTTGAATATATTTCTGAATCTACACGAGGTGCTACGACTAATCGGTGAGTTGCCTGATTTGCCTCCTTTCGGATATATGAATAGTTTTTAATTTAATGAATGCGAAATTAATTGTCTATCAAATACCAATTAGCTGCAAATTTTGTTGATTCAACTATTTTGAAATTAAATCGCATTTTGATGGCTGGAAGCATCGAATTTTTCGCTGCAAACTGGGTTTGAGTATTAAATGAAATTAAAATACATTTTTTCATTTGATAGGAATATTTGGAAAAATATTTGTTTTCAATTGAGTTATCTTTTAAATAATTACGTATCAAAATTGGTTTTTAGTTTGTAGTGAATTATAAATTAAATGGTAGAGTCTAGTGTTTAATCAGTTTTTTTTGTGCTTTGTTCTTTAATTAATATTTGAGAAATGTTTTTTAAATATTTTTTAATGGGGAATTTTATTAGAGTGCCTTCATATTAACACATTGCTTCATGTGTTGTCAGCTCACAAATCAACAGGATTATATTTATATACGAGTATTTATATATCGAAGATAAACTTTACTTTCTGAAAACAAAACGCATAAAAACCGAAAAGTGTTTTACGAGCTGCTGCCAAAAACTGCAGTAAAAACCCTTTTCATACACATATACATGTATATAAAATAAATAAATCTATGTTGGGGAATCGTAAAGCACATGCATAGGGCAAGATATGGTTGAATTATCAGAAATTATGTTGTAAAATTTACAACTCTCAGCTTACTGGGCTGCCTATGCAAACAGGTCGAGTGATTGATGGTAGCTGCCTGCATACATATTCATGTATGTGTGTGTGTGTGTGTATGTGTAGGTGGCATATTGGTCCCTCCCTCTCTCTCTCCTCATGAGATCGGGCTACAAATCGCGTCAGTTCTGAATAACTGAGTAAATATTTGAAGGAGCGCGAGTGCGAGTGCTAATCAGGCGCTTATCTGGCAGCTATCGCCGTGTGCTGCTCGTCGTAATTCATGTTCGGGGATTTCGGTTGGTGGTGTTGCTCGGGTTATCGGAGCGCCGGACAATCAATCAGGTTGCAGCAGTGCATCGCCAGTGCTGGTCGCCCACTGGCAATTGGCAAGCTCGGGTGATCCATCAAATGCTATGGAAATTTATTAGTTGTGTCAGCCGCGTGTCAAACAAAGTCAAATTTTAAGCCACTAATCGATTCGCCTACTGTGTGCCTGTATGTTTGTGTGTGTGTGTGTGTGTGGCTATTGTTGTGTTTATCGTTTTGCGTTGCAATTGCAACTTGCCCCATTGATGAGTGGTGGCTGGGCACCCTCCTTCAATTATCCAGCGCTGACAGCAGGTTGCATGCCTGACCTACTTTTGGCTACCTTTTCGGGCGGCCCTCTCAGTCTCCCCCCTCTATCTCTTTCTCTCTCTCGTGGTAGGTGTCATTTTTTAGCGGTTTGTTCAAAAGCTTCACTCCAATACAACAGTCCATGTGTGTGTGTGTGTGTGTGTGAGCTGTCTTTGTGTGCATGCGTGTACATCAATTAAATTGTCAGACCACATGAAAAAAAAGAGAAAAAAAAAACACACACACACACATACACACGACAGCTCCGGCATTTGGTGCTCGTTAGCTTACGCTTGTGGATCGGACCGAGCGAGCTGGGTAACTGCAGCAACTACTATTGGTGAAGTGGGCTAAAGGACGCTCACAGCCAAATTGCAGCTCTGGCCAAAGTCTACACACACACACACACACACACACACTCACACATACACATATAAACGATGTCAGGGACTGGCACAGTGCGGCGGCAGCTCGTTAACGGAATGAGCGACACGTAGAATCTTTAATGGGTTTGCAGCTTAAATGACACACCGCCAACCAGAGCATAAATAAATGCTCTTCCCTGCAGTGGGGAGCAGAGACTGTGGCTGCCACGTAATTAGTGATCACCCAATATATAGAGCATAGGAGTTATCTTCTCAATGGGGCCAATGGGCCCCTCTGTAGTGCAGAGTTTATTTGAGCTTTGACAATTTCTAAGCCTATGGCATTGTTATGTTTCATTGAATGTATCATATAAAACATATTTTATATAGTCTGCTCTGATTAGTATTCAACATCAGTATCCTTGGGCTGTAGCTCTAAAATAAAATATTTCCCAATCTGTGGACTCCTTTAACTAATCTTTACTTTTTTTTTCAACGACTTTATTTTTATGTTTTTTCTGTTTTGTTTTTTTGTTTATATGTAAATATATTTTTCCTATATTTTTCTATTGCATAATTTGAAATCAAATTTTGGTATACACAAAATTTAAATCCGACTAAATTGTTATATTGACGTCAATAAATATTTAATTATAACATGTATGAACAAACACGTATGAGCCCAAAAAAAAATTGTCGTACAATTTGTGTAATTATTTATATTAGAAATAATTGAGGCTTTGCTAATTGGCCAACTAATAATATGTCTACTGCACTTTTAATTTGGAACAACAAATGTGTTGATTGGATTTGTTATGAATGGACTTAAACTAGTGAAGCTACAGGTCGAGAAACGTTTGCTCTATAGCATATATGTATTTACATATGTATATAAATATATAAATTTTTAATAAAATTAAAATTTATTTTGCTTTGTTATGCAGAGACTTGTAATATTTTTCAGATAAAAAAAAATTAATAACAAAAAATAAATAAATTACGCTAAGTTGAGGGATAGTTTCTATATTAAAGAAAAATCAGAAGTCTTTCGTGTGGGTTCTTCTTTGAAGCAGGCTGCAAGCAAGCAAATAACGTTAGTGAGTGAAAGAAATACAGTTTAAACAGAGATTTGGTTAATTTATCGTTTAATACGTCTCGGTTCAAGGGAACAAGAAATTATTTGTCGCCAGCTCAGTGTTGCGTATGTAGCACTGAGCAACCCGTCGCTGAAATTTCTAAAGAAAATGGTCAAAAAACTTGATCTCAATATGCTATGCAAATAAAATTGATGAAATGTGCTACGAATTGCTTGCAGAGTAAATAAAATATATATTCATAATGCATATGTTGGCATAGTAAAGCAACACGTAATCAAAATGCAGTAGACCTTAAAATGGAATAAATATATAAATAAGAATATCGAAAGTCCTTTTATAATCGAACACGCTTCATGGGTCACTTGATGCTCGAGCTGAGTGCCCTGTCTGGATCTCTGCATATACCATCATCATGCCATTTGGGAATCGCAAGTCATGTAAGGCAGTGTATCAAGAGCTCTAATCTCAACCCATCTGCGAGCGATTGACAATCCCAACTAGGCAATAGCAGGAGTAGCAGCAGGAGCAGCAGGAGACTGAAAGATTTTTTTTGTTAAATGTTGCCAACTCACGTTTAGCTAATAAAACGGCAAAACATTTGGCTAAAAATACACAAAACGCATTTATTTTGCCAAGTAATGTGAACTCAATTAGTGAAAAGCGACGACAACAACAACAGCAACAGCAACAGCTGTGAATAGCGGAAAGCCTTTTAAGCCCATCGGGGAAAATCTTGGCGAGAAATGCGCAACGTGCGTGCCGAATTTTCGGTTGAGACGACTTTGCCACACAGAATAATTAATAAATGCAAGTCGATAGAGGGCGAGCGGGGAACAGGAGGCGGCGGGAGACTTGAAATCGGAGAGGCGCCGCTTGGCATGTTGCCGTTGTGGCAGCAACTGTTGTTGCAATTGCGATTGCCATTGCTGCTGCTGCTGTTGCTGTTGGGATGACGACATTATAAACAACTCTAGAGCATGTCGTTAGCATGTCTGACTGCCTAGCGGACGAGAGTTATTGCAGAGAGTGCGTAATTGGCAAATGAATGAGGGACGCAGACGACGACGACGACGACGGCGGCTTCACAGCCACAATATAAAGAGAAAGAGATAGAGAGAGGACGAGAAAGAGGGAGGGCGAGGGCAACGATGATGCAGCTAAAGCGTAGGCGAAGCAAAATCTCAGTTGCATTTCAATGCGCTTAATTACGAGGGTGGTTCGGTGGTTTGGCCGCTAGGGACCTGCCACTTGTCAGCTGTATACATCGCTCTCGCTCTCTCTTCCTTTGTGTGTGTGTGTGTGTGTGTGTGTGTGTGTGTGTGTGTGTGCAGTTGCCACTTAGCCATGACGGCCACACGTGTCAACGTCAGCATTGCTTGCAACATCAATTCCACCTAAAGCCACCTACAACACAATTGTCCTCCTCCTGCTGCTGTTGCTGTTGTTGTTGTTGTTGTTGTTGCTGGCTCTTCATCTTCATGCAAGTCATTGGCCCTTCGTTGCGTAAACAGTTCACACTTCAGCAAACGGTCATGGATTGCTGGCCACGCCCATTAATACACGCCCAAATATACGGGCTAAGCCAATGCATCAGCCACAGCAACAATAACAAGAGCAACAACAACAAGGAGCGACGCCCATTTGCGCTTAATTAAAACGCTAAATGTTCTGCGGATGTTGTTGTTGTTGTTGCTGTCGCTTGTGACAAAAATATGAACAAAAACAACAACTAAATCTCTAACGTGTGCATTGGATAACGCATTGGATAATGCATAAGCCAACATAATGTCAACAACAAAAGACTTTGTTACTTCATAACATAATCAAGGTGCATAAATTATTTGGATGCTTTGCATAATTGAATTGATTAATTTATTTAATTTATCAAGATTGAGCAACTACATTTACCCTGGCTAAAAATACTTATTAGAATTAGGGAAATATTTTATTATAGCTAAAACTAAAATATTAGGAACTACATACATATACATATATATATGTACATTTAATTGGATTTTTGTCGGAATAAAAGTTTTTTCCTATTATGTTGCCATTAAATAAATATGAATAAGAATATTATATAGATTTACTTTTTTTTTTTTAAGTTATGAAATATCTATTGTTTATTTCAGTATAAAATATATTCATATTAATGCAATTAAGGAGAAATCTATTTGAATAGAGAAATTTAACATATGATTTTTGCTGAATCCATAGAAATATAATATATATAATATATATATATTTTTCTAATATTTTGAATAATATCCGCATATTTATATTCATATTTGCATCCCTAATGCATCTTCATGCATAAGCTTAGATTAAATTTAATATAGGCGAAATCTGATGCCATTTTGTCCAATTAATTATAATTGAGTCTCTCATACCGTACATGCTGAATTGATTACAATAAACGTAAGTAAATGCTTTATGTATTGGGTGTTTGCCTGAAGTTTAATTTTTGTTGTTATCTGTTATAAAATAACAGAATTATGATTTTCATCAGATGTGCAGAATCAGTCAATATTTGAGAATGATTAAAGTAATGTATTGTAATCTTACTCTGCTCTACTGAGAGAGCCTGTCGAAATTATTTAGGATTCTACTTTTCTTTTTTTACGAGCAATTAATAATTAATTGTCATTATTATTATTATGCCAATTAATTTTTCATTAAGTTTAAGTGCTTATTCATCTTTTGATTGGAAATTGGGTGAGCCTATGATTTTACTTTAGTTAATAGTTGATTTAGTTTTGCATAATTTTTAATTTGATTGCTTTAGGAATATGCCCTGAATATGTTAAAAAATTGGTATGGTTGTTCATAGCTGTAAAACGGAATTCGAAGAATATTAGATAATTAGATTTTTAAATATATATTTTTTTGTTTAAGAATATTTGATTTTCATTATTTAAACATTTGTAATTTGGGTATTACGAAAAATTAATTGATTTATTCTCTCAACACTTGATGCTTCACAGAAATATATACCAATATATGTATTTAATAATATTAATTTTTATTTATTTGACTAATTTTGTTCATGTTAAATGCATAAATGAATTATTGAACTATTTGTAATTGACGAATTTGATACACAGCCTCATTTATATATCAAATGCAGTCAGAAATTCGAGTTCCGACGTTTTTATATTTTTTTGGAACTCGTTGACGTTGAGTTTTATTAAAATTTATTCAGTTGCGGAACATATTTTACATTTCCACTTAGCAATTAATGAGTTCCAACACGCACACAAGCACACATATGTGTGTGTATATTTGTATATTGTGTATTTTGTATATTTGTATATATTATGGCAGGGATAGAACAGTTGCAGTTGCAGACCACCCCCAAGAGACCGAGTCGCATATCTCAAGTGGCGTTCCCCAGACTCGGGCTCCGCCTCGTTATCAAATGAATTTAATCAGTTTCAATTGTTTATGTTTTAGTTTCTGTATAAAAAGTGGGGGCCTGTCTGTTGGTATGATTGGTAGCCTCTAGACACGAAACGGAAATCAAGCCGAAGGAAACCGAGCAAAGTGGGAGAAGCCACCCAAAGCGAAATTCCGCTTTCCAGAGCCAAGCGAATGGATTGCACAATGCCCAATTGACTTGTTTGGAAATTTTGCTTCTATCATTTTTTATAGAGTTTTTCTCTCTTTTATTTTGTAATAATCGCTGCATCAGCTCGCACAATTAACGGCACTGACAAATTGCTGCGCCCATTATGAGGCGATTTAATTGGCGTCTCTGATGGCCAGCACATGTGGGTCGTCAAATGCTCACTGACACCTACTTGACAACGATGACGATGTGGCAACTGTGGCTATGAATAGATGCCCAAATTTTGATATTGCCCAGTTTCGAACGACGGGGACTGGGACTGGGATGGGGCTCTAAAGATAAATTGCGCAACTGCCCGTTTGCAGTCGAAATAATATCGCATAAATTTATAGCCGCCTAATCCTCGGACTGTGCCAGTGGCAATGCTTAAATTATGTTAATGCCACAGATAATAAAGTACATGGTATTTGCATTAGGAAATGCCGCTTCAAATAATATCCGCGTTTGGGCCATTCCAGGATAAGCCAGAGCCTCGCCATGTCTGCCATTTAGCGTAATTAACTTGTGCTTAGGCAAACGCTTTCCCACAATTCGCCCGCTCGCTCGGTGGCTCGGTGGCTCGGTTGCTTGCTCGGTGATTAGGTGGTCGGGGCTGTTGCATCTGCAGCTTAGCTGCAACAACTAACTTCTAAATAAACAACGCAAGTGACGCGTGCTGCCCGCGCTCGAAGCATTTGTATCTTGTACGACTTTATGCTGTTCCTCCCCCTGCCCCCACCGCCGCTCTGCCTCTCTTCCGGCTGCATCTGCAAAGTGAGAAAAGTCGCACACAACAATGACAAACGCTGCCAGCCAGAGGGGTAGCTACCTTTACAACAACAAGAACAACAACATCAACAACAACAACATTGAATAGCAACAGCAGCAACAACAACATCGCTACTTAATGGACCAGAAATGCGCTATGCAAACACAGAGCCAGTTCCCTTGCCTCCCCTGCCTCTGCCCTATGCTTGCTGCCGTGCCGTGCTCCTGTCCGTGCCTCTGCCCGTTCCCATATATATTTTTCAGCTTGCTTGTCCTGCTAGGTCTCTCTCTTCTCTCTCTCTCTCTCCCCACTCGCTGCTCGTCCTGCTGCGTATGCAAACAAACGAAGCCCGGAAGCGAAATACGATGCGACGGCAACGCACGAGGCAGCCGCCAGCACTTGAGCACGCCGCAGCAATGCCACCCCACCACGTTCCGCACCGCACCGCACCGCCCAGCCCCGCCCCCAGTCTCCGCCATTCACTTTCAGCAGCTAGCCACGCTGTTGAGGGCTTCATTTGAAACGCCACCCGAGGGTGGACCGCGACTGCCGACCCTTAAGCTACTGCTTTAGTCTCTGTCGCAGTCGCAGTCGCCGTCGCAGTCGCAGTCTATGCTGATGTCGTCTCATATTTTTATTGCCGAGCGAATTCCAAGCGGGCGCCTCACTCACCCTCTCTCTCTCTCTCGCTCTTTATCTGCCTCTCATACTCTTAATGAGACCGTAAATTATTTTTTATTATTTCGTATTTAATTTTTTCATTGCTGTTTGTTTGACTCACATAAAAAACGAACGGATGAAGGACGCGTGTTTGTCGGCCATTTGATTTCGAATTGATTGTGGGAATCGGATATGCGGATGCAGCCCACAAAGGGGTAGCTGCATCTGAACCGTTCGCTAAATTCCCCAAACTGTTTAGGCTTAAGATGTTGATTACGTTACGTTATAGGATACATAACATCCATATTAGCTTTAGCTCAACGAGGTTAAGCAGGACTTGGAGGAGACGAAGAAGAACCAATATTTATATACCCTTTATTCTCTTTATAAATTCCTACTAAGTCTTGGGTATTTCTACTCATGGAACATCTACAAATGTCTATGCCTCATGGAACTGGAGCAGTTGGGTTTCAATGTCCCATTTTGCGCCCCATTTTCTAAGAATTTTAATTACTTTTCGTTCAATTACATAAGAAAACATTGGAAACTTGTTTGAAAAACAAGCGCAATAATTTTGCCCCAGTTCATTCGCTCTATTTGTCCATGTTTCTCTCTCTCTCTCTCTGTCTATCTCTGTCGCTTCCATTCACTTTTGCTCATCATCTATAACTTTCTCCCTCGGCTATAATAAGTATATACTTATAGATATATTACCAATTGCAACATATTGGAAATTTTCACACGCCCGCAGCCTTGGACTCGGTGTTCCATTGCACTCGAGCAACCCTCGAACAGCTTCCCACGCAGCCTTAAGTAATATTTCGGAGAGGGAGCACTTGAACGGGAGCTCAGGGGGGCTTCGCGGCTGATTAAATATTGAGTAATTAAAAACTTGGAGCATTGTACTCGAGGCGTCCGATAAGCCAATAATAGAGATTAAAGAAAATATATTCTAAATAAAAATTGTTTTGAGAATAGCTGAGCACCAGGGGAACATGAGTCATGGGGTGGGTAATCTAGAGTTCCATAGATTTTCATGATCTAATCTATAATTGTTTATTTTGGCTTGACCCACTTCCGAGATGGCACCCATTTTCGATTCCCCCAATCCCCATTTCTCCATTTCCTCCATCGTTGATAAGGAACAACTGTCGGCAGACATATGCGAAATGTTTTGTTGAATTGCGCGCTAATCAAAATATCAAATGCGTGCTTGGCCTTTGAGTAAGACTCAACGCGGCATGTAATTCATGCTTTCAATCACACCGAGTGACTGATTGACTGACTGACTGACTGACTGACTGGAAAACTGACTGATGACAGCGCCGTGGCCTGGGGGCCGCTCCGTCTGCGGTAATTTCCCTGTCACGCGTGATAAAACGCGCACATGGCACATCAAGCAGGAGGATCGCAATCGGGACAGGGGCTGGAATCGAGTCGAGTCGAGTCGAGTCGAGGCGCAATTATGTGGCAACAAGTAATGCCGAGACGAGTCCTGATTATTCGGCGGGCCGTTTTAACTTTAATTAAGCGCTCAGTGCACACTTGAGCAACTGCATACATACATATATCTGTGTATTTAAAAACATATTCGCATTAATTTCATTTGCCGGCGAAACATAGCGCCTGGGCTTAGCCAATTCGTTCCATGGCAAATGCGATTCGTTCTGGCCTCTTCATAGCGCATTCACTCGACATTCATTTGCCGCCGTACATTCATTTGCCGCCTCGCTCCGTTTATTATCAATTCTCATCTTTTTGTGAGCCCCTGCCAGGCCAACAAATACCGTGAAATGTGTGTGCGAGTGTGTGTGCGTGTTTGTGTTTTATAGACATCTATTTGGACAGACTAATGGCGTTGAGTGGGTCGTTGAGTTGGGTGTGAGAATATTAGCAACATTATCATTAACATATTTAAATGCGGATAAGCACAGCGAATAAATGAATTCGAGCACCACAAAATGCGAGAACTTATAAATAATGAAGCTGACTGAATAAAGATAGGAAAGGAGTTCAGACTCAAAGCGGAATTCGTATTCAGGCATAAGCTGAAACCACATTCAGTCAAATTTATGCAAAGAGGATTCAAACTGAAACAAGAATACAAATATGTTTTGAATATTTCAATTGAATCTGCTGTAAAAAATAAAAGAAAATTGAATATGAAGTACATATACTACATGACTAAGATTGAGTGTGTTCTCCACTAATTACTACGATTAAAATTAAATGTTATGAATTTCCGTTGTTACTTTAGTCTCAGATGTGACTATCTATACTATCTATCTATTTTTATATGCTGCTAATTGGCTGGGGTAATGCCTGACCTGTGGTTGCTTGCTCTGACGAGGCTTGCAGCACATTGTGGGCCAACTCTGCCCTGTTTCGAATTAGGTGTTGTTTTGAAGTCATTAAGTTATGCCATGGACCAAACTAATACAACGTGCAGCCCGCCCTCAGCTCTACCTCGAGCTGCTTCTGTTCTGGCTTGTTTTGTGGGTGGTCCTCTTCAAAAAGTTTTCGCTTCGTCACGTTTACAAGATGATAAACCCCTTAACTACTTTTCAACGTAAACACCCGATAAAAACCAAAGCCAAAAAACATGCATGCATATATACAAACTTATGGCCATGTGTGTGTGTGTTTTTTTGACCCATAAGCAAAATAAGAAAAAAATAAAATACGTTGTCATAAACAAAGCCAAAAACTTTTCAACAAACAGCAGCGGACAGCAGAGTTTGAGGAGGCAATGCGTCCACTTCAGTGGCCTCGCCTACACCCGCACACACGGACACACACACACACACATACTCACTCATATAGATTCATGTACATGTAGAGACCAATGCATCCATGCTAATCTCTCTTACATTTTGTTGTGGAGACCTGGAACTGCCACAGGGACAGGGAAATGGGATTGTGTGAGAGGGACTCAACTGGGACTTGGGCCTGGTCCTCGGCCTGGGACGGGTAATGGGCAACGTAGTAGCACTTATTGTTAGCACAAGCATGAGCAGCTGGCGAGCAACTGCGTTGCCTTCTCGGCTGGCCGAAAAAGTCAATACGAAGCGCTGCTCACTCGGTCAGAGTCATAAATTACGCCATCCCGGGGGTGCTATTGAAAACTCTCTCTGTGTGTGTGTGTGTGTTGTTGTTGTTGATGTTGCCGTTTGTTTGTTTGTATTGGACTATGGCCCCGGAGGTGTTGGCTTGAACAATTTGCGCTGTGCTCCCTCTGGCTAGTGTCGCTGGCAGAATCGTCTCGCAGCTCTCTGTTGTTCGGCCATGTCAAAAGTGTTCATAAATTCCAGCTCTTGGCCCGAAAATTCGGCACAGGAAGTTCTTGTTTACTTAACGCGTACACAAACTCACGCACATCTGCAACTTTGCCACAGAATGTCTTTTAACGGCCCGACCCGACTGTGCTGCTCCGCTTTGGGTTGCGTTGGGCCATGTTCGGTCTGGGCCACCCAGGCAGTCAGTCCGTCCGCCTGTCTGCCCGTCCGTCAGGCCGTTAGGCCGTCGAACAACTAGGCTGCTTGGGCTTTGACCACAGAGGCGCATGCAAATCAAACCACAGGGCACATTACAAGCTGACCCAAGCAGCCAAAGCCGCAACAAAACTCAACTAACTGGGCCACTCTAAACCGCACCAGCGGACCACCCCACACCACACCACACCACACCACACCACCCCAGCGCCTGCACCTGCTGCAAGCCGGGCCAGGCTTTATGGCTATCCATAAATTTGATGGCAGCGCCTAGACACGATTTGAGAACCCGCTAGCTCTGTCTGGGATTGCGTCCAGAGGTGATAAAAATTTCATTACATCACGCAAGAGCGTTGCCCGAAATTGAAAGAAAACTTTACACCGGTGCCAAATTAATGGCCAGCTTTCAGCTCGACTCGGCCCGCAATCACAGTCGGCCACCACCTGATGAACGACTGTGGGTGGCTCACACAATGGTCAGGTGTTCGGGCCTCTCTGGCTGTCGTCTCACGCAATCGAGTCTGGACTTTTGGCTAATAATCACATTAACTTTTTCCGATAAACACATTATATTTCGGACCTCTCTGATTTTTACGAGCTAATAATTTGCACGTCTTTTGGTTGGGACTGCTCGGCCGGACCCTTAAGAGATTTATATATATATGTATATATATATGTGTGTGTGTGCACTAAAAGGCAAGCACTTCAGAAATCGGCTAGATTAATTATGCGTTTATCGTGCCGCCTGAGTGCTTTGACCTAAATGGTCCTTTCAAAGCGTTAATTAGCAATGCTCTCAGCCGAGTTCTACCAGGAATTGTTCTCTCTCCTTAAATGTGAGTGCGTGTGTGGCGGTAGAGGCGTGAGGCGGGCAGAGGGTGCCGACGTCTGGGTAGTTTGTATTTACATTTTAAATTGAAAACGCAACTACAGCTCGTTCATGGCAACATCACCATAAACGTAATGTCTTTTTTTATGGTTTGTCATAGAAATCTACAAGATCATAATTTATGCAACACCCGCTGGCCGCTCCATCCCAATGAACTTGAATTTATAGCCAGGCCGAGGTCCAGGCCGGCATCATCGATGGAGCTGAAGCCGCAGTCGTAGTCGCAGTCGCAGTCGCAGTCGCAGTCGCAGTCGCAGTCGTTGAGGTGATAATATAAAAGAAAACACATAAACTGCAAGACGGCCAGAAAGGGTTGAGGGCTGGCGACGTTGATTGCGTCTGGCCTGAAGGCAACAACCGTCAGCCGACTTGGACAGAGCAAAGGCACAGATACAGGAGACAGGGGCAGGAGAGAGGAGAAGGAGACGGGGACCGAAAGACCGAGGCAAATAAATTGCAGCTGCTCGACCAGGGCGATGAAATACAAATAGAAATACTTGGCAGCTACCGTTGGCGTTGCACGTTGCACGTTGCGAGTTGCTTGAGTTGCGAGCTGCACGTAGAGTCTGACTGGCAATGAAGTTGCCAGAGAGCATCGTGCACTTCACATGTCCTTTAGCTTGTTTGTCTTTCACTCTGACGCTCCTCACGGCAGCGAGCTGAAGTGAAGTTGTTTGGCCAGACAGAGAAACGTCTTGCTAACCAAGCATTCGAGCATGGAACCCAAACGAGCTAGCGAATCATGACCATTTGGGCATAAAAATTGCCTTGCCCTGACTCGCCTTCGTCTGACGTCGGTCTCTGCCTCTGCCTGGGCCTGTGCCTGGACCAGGGACTTGTCTTCTCGTTGCATGAGAGCCGACCTTCTATGGCTTGGCCACTGAAGTCTGTCTGAGTTACCTGAAGCTGCGGGCTGACTTTGTAGTGGTGCGATTTAATCAGCTGCAAGCGCATCATCATTCCATCATCCCATCGTTCTATCATTCCATAAATCTGGCTCTTGACTTTTGGCTTAGCCAGCTCGTCTGTGGCACGACTTGGCTGCGGACCGAATCAAATGTGAACAAATTGAATTTGCTTGAGTTATGATTGCCCCTTGCTAAAGACATTAGCATGTGCCCTGCCTGTCCCGTTCCCCATACTCAAATTTGCAGCTCATAAAAAGTTTGTCTTTTTTGCGCAGACCGAGATATGGAGTGGAATGGGGGCTGGTGGGAGAGATCATACACGCAACCCTTGCAAGCACATACGCAACCCCAAAAAGGCCCTAAATCAGCATCAGCTTCAGCTCGGTGGTCACCAATGTCATCATCAGCCGCGGGCAGAGGCAGAAGCGGAGGCAGAGATGGAGGCAGGGCAGAGACTAGCCCCAGACAAAAACTCGTACATACATTGATAATAATAAAAATGTCTGTCGGCTGCCGTCTGCCGCCCAGAGTGGGAGTCGGACACTGTAATGTATATCTCTGACTCCGGCTCCGGCTCTGGCTCTGGCTCTGGCGCTGACTGTGGCCTAGTCTTCCGTCTGCGTTTAATGCACAACATATTCATGTGTCAAAAGACAATTTCGGATTTATGGCCTGCGAAATCCCCGGGCTGAAGTCCGACGACAACGGCGACGGCGACGGCGACCAAATGACGCATAGTGGGCGGACGGAATGGAGTCCGTTGCATTAGCATAGGGGAAGCAAAAAATATGTTAAGAAAGCATAAAGCGATATCCACTAGCGAGTAGGCGAGACATACATTCGCTCAGACATACATTTAAATCTCGCTCAGCTTTTTGGTTTTGCATAAATTAGGGTTGAAGCCCCGCCGGACTGGCGTTCCATGGGAGGGATGCGTGGTCCCGTCGTATTTGGGGCGCAAAAATTGCCATTTTATTTTATTTTTCTCTTTTTTCTCATTTTTTTCCTTTTCTTCTCGTCTTTGGCACATAGAAAGTTTTGGTTTATGCGTCTGTTCTGGTATTTTAGGGTTGTAATTGAAATTAAATAGATGTCGTGCCATGAATTCAAATCGTTGTGCTTTTGCCTTCATGTTTTTTTTCTTTTTTTTAGAATTCGTTGCATAGCTAAGCATGTTTTAAAGAGTTAAAGAAGCTAAAAGAAAAAGTGAAAATATGTATAACGGTTGAAGGGTCTTGAGCAACGTTAAAGTATAAAGTTTTCACTGTAGGGATTTCAGACTCGAATGATCAATACGTAATCAGGGTTAGTTTTTGGGTACAGTCGAAATATCTCTAGTAAGGACAAGATAAAACACAAACCTACGCATTAAAGCCCTCAAGAGTTTTCATACTATAAATCAAAGCTCATAGAACTTTAAGAAACTCGTTTGGTAGAGTTCGTAGCCATATCAGCTCATTGATACTTGAACAAGCTATTCACACTCTCCCCCTTGCGGGCTCCTTTTGGTTGTCGATTTTGCATAGCACCTTATCAACATCATGGCACACATTACTCCTATCTACTATCTCTGCACTCCATTCTCTTTCGGCCTCTGCTTTGCTCTTCATGCTTTGGCAATTTGTAGCTCTTTAAGCATATTTTCACAGCATCTTTTGCGCTTTTTTGGGGCAACTTTTACTTTTTGTGGCAGATATTTATGTCAGCGGCGCTTGACGAAGTTGCTGGCAGGAGTCGAGAGTGAGGGTGTCTTGCTTGGATAAGGAAAATCGATTTTCTTTAGGTGACAGGGAGAAAAGACAAAGGGGGAAATTGAAAGAGAGAAGAGCGCTCAGGTATTGCCTATTGTCGGAGTACTTGAGGAGTTTGGGGCACTGACTTCATTTGCTCAGCAATCAACTCTAATTAGCGCGCCCGGCACTTGAGATGCAAAGCGAGTTGGTTCGAGGGTTCTGGCGAATAATTTGCTATTATTTGTCTATAATTGGGGTGCGTGGGGTATGCGAAAGTTTTGATGTCTGTGGAATTTTAATTGTGTACGGCAGGCGGAGGGGGAGGGTGAGAGGAAGCAACTTTAATGCGACAAATTTAAGCAACAATTTTTGTATTTCGCTCTTCATTAAACGTGGCTGCCAGGTTACATGTCTGGGGCCCATTAACCCTTTGGGCGCTATCACAACTTTGCTATCTGCCTTGGTTCATTATGCGGCACAGTATTCATATCTGCAATACGTCACATTTCTGCACCCACACACACACAAACAGGCACACGTATACATGCACACGCATCACGGCGTGGTCCACCAGCAGCCGCTTTCACTAATTACATTTTCAAAGTGCAAACGAAGCGTGCGTGGAAAGGGAGAGGGAGCGGGAACGAGAACGGGAACGGGATTGGGAATGGGAACGGCAACTAGAACGTAGCTGGGCTTGCTTCACTAATTAGTACGATATGTATATGTATATGTATATGTATGTATATATGTATGCTGAGGCATAGGTACAGTCGGTGGACGCATAAGTGGCATAAATTAAAATAAAATGTACAAGTATAAAATGTAACTGCGACGTCGACTGCGATAAAATCTAAAATAAACAGGCCGCGCTGCGGCTAGCCGCGGCTCCGTGAACACACTGAGGCATGCAACATATGTGCAGCAGCAGCAACAACGGCAACGGCAACAGCAACAACATCAACATTAATTAAGCATAAACATTTAACCTGCCCCCGGGACACGCCCACGAACAGAACGTCGCGTGCACAGTCCGCGCGCAGCAAGCGAAGGGTCCCGCTCTCTGTTTTGTCCGAGTCGCATTTTATAATTTTGATTGATTTATTGAGCCGACACCAGAGCGGCAAGTGCCCGGCGGCATGTGGCAAGTGGCAAGTGCAGCCAGCTCAGGTAACAGCGAAGGCGCCGGCTGTAGGCCCTTGCCCGGAGGAACAACCTTCACATGTTGCTCCCGCTAATTTAATTAAATGAATTGAAAAAGGGCAACGCGCGGGCGAGCAGCGATCAGCGGAGCTGTCATAACTATTAGATATGTATATACATAGACATGGACACAGAAAGCGATAGCTGGACAGGTGCCTAGATAGGCCTTTAGATGGGGTAGATATACCCACAGCCCACAGCTCAGTTAATTTACATGTGAGCGCGTCATTAACATGACATGCAAATGTTATGCGCTCCAACTGAAGCATATGCCATAAAAGTATATACGAAGTCTGTTAAAAGTAACATACATATGTTAATTAATTTTGTATATTTAATTAATTTTAAATATGTTAAAATTTGTATAAGAAAATGTAAATTTAAATTAAATTTATGCTTAGAATCTGTTGCTTAAGAGCTTCCTCACATGCATAATAAATGTTAATGGAAGCTGTTAAGTAACATAAATGTTAGGCAGATGAATCTCAAGCATAACTAGTGTAAAATAATGAAATACAAAACTGTTGAACAATTTAAACATTGAAAACTAAGCCATAAACTAAATCCAGATATAAGAGATAAAAATCTATATACAAATGTATTTTATATGATTAAAAAAAAGAATTTAATTTACTTTTACATTAGAAAACTAAACCCAGATTGAAGCACACAAATATTTGAATTCCATTTAATATTGCTTCAGTGGGATATTAAGCCTTTCCAGCTCTACCCCTTTACGACGAAAGTCTTCGTTTCTGGCCAACTTGTTTGTCGTCTTTGATTGATTTTTGGGTGGGGAGAAAGCAATAAGAAATTGCCTGGCATTTGGCGCTGTTGCTGCCGGGGGGTTCAGCTATTTAACTCGTTCAATATGTCACCGAAGTGTCTAAGTGGACAGATAATGCAGAGTCTAGTGGCAGCAGGCAGCCAGCCATCAGCCGGCAGGCAGGCAGCAGCTCTTCCATTCCTTCCTTGAAGAAAATCAATTTGACAAAGTAAAGAAAACTGTTATCCCTGGTGATTGATTGTGCAGCCGAGTCGAGTGACTGGCCAAAAGTTGCCCAGCTTCGATTGGGTCACCGAGCGTATCATTAATTTTCTCAGCGTTGCTGGGTTGGGCCGAGTTCGGGATGCCGTGTAAGCAGCCGTTTCGTACATGCATCTAAGTTTTTTGTCTTCCCTTACTCTTGCAGGCGTTTCCGCGGAGCTCTACTATGTGCGGGAGGGAGCCATCAATGACTATGCCCTGAATTTTGCGGTGCCGGTGCCGGCGAACATCAGCGATGTTACCTTCACGTGGCAGTCGCTCGTTGAGCATCCTCTACCCTACAGCATCAATGTGGCCACATCGGATGTGGGTGTGCTGCCACGCCCACTGCTGAACATCTCGCGCATCGGTAATGTGCCGCAGGAGCCGCAGACGTGGGGCGTCAGTCTCAAGTGTTCGGGCACACGGGCCGCCGAGGTAACCGTTACCATCAGCGTGGAGGTTATACTGGACCGGGCGACCAACAACAATACGAATCTCATCTTTAAACGGAAGAAAATTTGCTTGAAAGACGAGCCGAACGATGCACGCGAGGAATACGATGACGAGGAGCCGCTGCATCCGGATCTGAGCGGGCACGATGACATCCACTACACGGAACACAACGAGGACACTGCAGAGCACATCATATCCGACGGCCACTTGCCAACCAATGTGGAGCATGGCAAGCCGACGGAGCGACACCGTGTGCTGGTGACAGAACCAACGGTGGTTGTGGGACGCGGTGCCGGGTCAGCGGGAGCGGGTGCGAACAACGAATACGATCCACTGTTGCGGGAGACTTTAGTGCCACCCACTAGCGGACTCATCACCTTGATAGTGGGCGGCATTTTGGCCCTGGTGCTCGTCTCTACACTCATTCTGATTGCCTACTGCGCGAAGGGTCCATCGAAACGTCATCCCTCAAACGGTGTCCATCTGATCAAGACCTCCAGCTTCCAGCGCCTGCCCACTATCTCGTCCACTGCTCACAACTCGATCTATGTCTGCCCTTCGACCATAACACCCACATACGCGACACTGACGCGGCCCTTTCGCGAATATGAGCATGAGCCTGAGGAGTTCAACCGCCGTCTCCAAGAGTTGACAGTCCAAAAATGCCGCGTGCGCCTCTCCTGCCTCGTCCAAGAGGGCAACTTTGGGCGTATCTATCGCGGCACTTACAACGACTGTCAGGAGGTTCTGGTCAAGACTGTGGCGCAGCATGCAAGCCAGCTCCAAGTAAATCTACTGCTCCAGGAGTCCATGATGCTCTACGAGGCAACTCATCCCAACGTAATGGCCGTGCTTGGCATTTCCATCGAAGACTATGCCACACCCTTTGTGCTGTATGCCGCCACGGGCAGCGTTCGTAATTTGAAGACCTTCCTGCAGGATCCGTCGTATGCCCGAAGCGTGACCACCATACAGACGGTGCTAATGGCTTCCCAGCTGGCCATGGCCATGGAGCATTTACACAACCACGGCGTTATTCACAAGGACATTGCGGCCCGGAACTGTGTGTAAGTAGAGCTAAGCCCTCATCAACATTCAGCATATGCCTGGTAGAGCGACCTAATCGCCGATTTGGTGTTTGCCATTTGTAATCCTAATGTCTAATCGACCATTTTCAACCCTCTGCTCTTTGACCTCTGCTTCCTCCAGCATTGACGATCAGTTGCGCGTCAAGTTAACTGACAGCGCTCTCAGCCGTGACCTCTTCGCTGGCGACTACAATTGCCTGGGCGACGGGGAGTACCGACCCATCAAGTGGTTGTCGCTCGAGGCATTGCAGAAGTCGCACTACAACGAGGGCAGCGACGTCTGGTCCTTTGGTGTGCTCATGTGGGAGATGTGCACGTTGGGCAAGCTGCCCTATGCCGAGATCGATCCCTATGAAATGGAGCATTATCTAAAGGACGGCTACAGGCTGGCACAGCCCTTCAACTGTCCCGACGAACTGTAAGTATTCGGTGGGGGAAATATTGCGAGGTGAGACGCAAACTCAATGTCTTTCGTTTCTGCTCTGCTAATTACAGCTTCACTATTATGGCCTACTGCTGGGCCTCCATGCCCGCCGAGCGTCCCTCGTTCAGCCAGCTTCAGATTTGCCTATCGGAGTTCCATACTCAGATAACCAGATATGTTTAACCTGCGGTAATGAAGCATACAAAGACTTGTAAATACAACAAGAGGCGACGTCGCAAGATTTCACAGCAAACGACGTCCGCAACTCTGTTTCCAAAGACATATTTAAATTATAGCGCTTAAGGGGCGCCTAAGTAAACGCCAATTTGGGAGATATAGATACGAGTGTGGGCCTACTGTTGTCCCCCACAATAAATAGTTACTTATTTATGTATGATGTGGGTGGTAGTCGACCGAGCAGATCACAGGAAACTTCTATTGATAGCTGCCCCATCTATAATTAGTCTCTAGGATAGTATGTTACGAATGAAAGGAAAACATGTGACATTTCAATGCAAGAAACGTAGTAGTTCAACGTAAAGTCCCCCCTGAAGAGACCCCAGTTAAAGCTCCTTCTGCAGAGCTCTCACGCAAAGCACTTGCATAACTTAACATTATATAGATACATAGCTAAAGAGATATAAAAGGATCCATACAAACATATAGTACACCAACCTAGGCTAGGCATATACGAGTTCTTCGGGTCACTTTGTCGTTTATAAACAGCAGAAAAAAAATATATAAATATATATATATATTATGGAATATCTATGTAAATGTATTTATATGTGTATGTATATGTATGTCTAAGACCGTAGTGCTAGTAAACTCGAATCTATTGTATTTAACTAATGTTAACGACGACATGTCATGTCGCAAACCCAACCGTGCACTGCAGTACTTTTCCGAAAGGAGCCCGACGACATTTGGTTTTACTCTTCCGGCAGGTCTACAAATGAAACAAACCGAACGAACGAAAAATAAAAGTTTTGTAATATACTTAAGCATTTCGCATTAGTTTTAAGTTCCACTTATGATTTCAAATTTGAAGAATGAAAGAAAAAGAAAAACGATTTCAATAAACGTCCGTGCATAACATTCAAAAACCATGGAAATGCATTTGTGAAATGGAAATGGTAAAACGGAAAATGGGCAAATGGGGGCGACAGCTAAGTAAGTATGTATATATTCGTGTGTAAGTATATCGCTAACAATTGAGCCTGGCCACGCCCATCACTTACCCTAAAACAACTTGTACTAAGAGCAATGTGTTGTTTGGGTTTCCACTATGTTGAGGCTGGCACAAATGCAGGGGGTTTGGGTTAACCATCTGCAATCTACACACGCACACACACACACACACAAAGAGAGACACACACACACATACACATACATATTGAAGTGAACACAGCCCCGAGCCAATCTCTTTGGCAGGCCAAGCGTGCTGGCAACACAAAAGGCATGTAATGCCAACTGCCTATTTGAGGAGGAGGCGGCCAGGTGAGCACTAGGGCCCTAGAGTCGGAAGGGGCGAGGAGTAGGGTCTGCCCACACACCTGTACGTGTAGTGCCTGTCTAAGCGCGTGCAGAGCTTATGAGGTAGACGCTATTTCATGGCATGCCCTTTGATGGCTGCACTGACACTACTTAGTTTTTTGGCACGTCATGGCTAGGCACGATGTGTGACTGTGTCCTTTTTAATATGCCTGTCACAGCGACTAGTTTTTGGTCCTGCTGCTTGCTGGCTGCTTTCTGGCTGCTCTCGCAGCGTTAACGCTGCCAATGTCTTTAAAAAGCGCTCAAAGAGCACGCCGGGCACGTTGGGCACGTGCCACAGCCGAGTTGCTTGGCATTTAACTAAAGCCACTATCCAAATCAAAAGCTAATACGAAAAGCAGTTACAGTAAAGCCACGGCATAACGACAAGGCCCAACTGTGAGCTTAAAGTGTACGAGAATATAGGGAGACGCTCGAAACTATTAGTATTTGAGTTGGGATAATGTCGAGTTGAATAGCTTTAAGCTCTTTTTTATCGGACTATTAGTGCCATAATTGTGTGTAACAGATTGCCTTCGGCTAGCAGCTGCTTAACATAATGTCTGCTGTTAATTAAAAGAGCGCAAAACGTAATCCCTATGAAACATGTTAAATACTAATTACGGAATTATTGTAGATTTGAGTGCATATTTATTTAATATTTACTATATAGTATATTTACTTTAAAT